TTATTAATACAATATTGAATCTTTTATACTCACGTTTTTTGCTTTGGCGTCCATTTTGCTTGCTTTGTGAATTCTCAAACTCTGTTTACATCGGCAAGTTTGGCTTTTCATTTTTGACACTTTATGTTTTTCAAGCAACAACAAAATACATGCAGTTGTTGTATTTGCTACCATGCTTCTACCTGTTTATTGTGCCATGGGCCTACCAGTTTTACGAAAATATTATACTAGAAAATAATTACATTATCTGTTTTTAAGTGGGTAACAACAATAATAAGAGTATTAATGTGCAAAGTCAATTCATTATTCGCAATTAAAATTAAAAAAAATAAAGGAAAATTTATGATAGCAAAAACAACAGAAAACACGCGCTTAATTGTCAAAAAATAGGCAAAAGGAAATACGTAAAAAAGGGATAATGGGCAAACTGGTAAAATAAAAAATAATACGACAACTGCACGTAGGTACTAGCTTGGCGGCGTTGGCGCCGGTGCGATCGTACATCTGCCGACGCTGCTGGAACGATGTATGTATGTTTTCCCTCGCTGGTAAGTACACAGTCTCTCTCGATTTCCTCTGGTGGATTTCCAATCTGCACAGTGCTATTGGAAATTACAATTGACCGCGGCCGTTGACCCACTTTTTTTTCCAAATTGTCACAGCTGACTGTCGGAATGTAATACGTGTATATGTACCCTGCAGGGAAACCGTGGACTAGTGAATCAAATTTCTAGTTCCGTACTAGGTCTTTATTGCCAAAAAGGAACTAGTCCGATAGGAACTAGATCCCCACCAGTCCAAAATCGGCGAAAAGTGGTACTTTTATGAAACTAGTTTTTTTCACAACAAATCTATATCTAAAGTGACGAATTTAGAAATGGTTCGGAACTATAGAAAAAGGGATGCAGAACGAACTAGATCCTATTTGTCGAATTTAGAACTATTTCGGAACTATCGAATAAGGGATGCAGCGGGGGGCTTGTTTACTTTACATAGATATGTGTTCTGCGGCTTTTTCGTTCAAATACGCTTCTATGCTGTACTTCGCAGATGCTATTTCATAGTTTGGTAATACAAAACAAAGCTTTGTGTTAACATATTAACATCTTGGGGCCGTCTGGAATCTAACCAATAACAGCGAGCACCTCTGCAAAGTCAGCTGCAGCAAGGTATGTAAACGTACATTTCTTACAATCATTCAAACAAATTTAATTTCAAATTGAAAAAATGTTTCTTTGAAAATAATGTAAAATCGCACACGGAAGAACCGAAAAGATTGAAAAACCATGATACTTTTTTCTTTCATCTGTCGGTTTTAGAACTGGTTCGGAACTATAGAATTTAGGACTAGTTCGGAACTATCGAAAAAGGGATGCAGCGGGGGGCAATTGACACTTCCTAGGACATCGCCATGTTAAATTCGCCAGTTGCTTGCATGCAAAAGAGATTTATCGCGAACCAGTACTGGGTCTAAATGTACTAGAAGCGCCCCAGTTCAGAACTAGAGATTTTCCCCACAGGGTATATGTATGTCGCTGCTGTTAGAAGCCTATGTTCTGACTCCGATTAAATGCACGTATGTTGGTGTGGGTGCGCGTTGCTGCCACAAAATGTTGGTCGGGCAACTATTGGTGTTGGGTGCTTAGCTCGTGTATCTTGCCTCACATTTAAACACACATACCAAGTAACAGCTGGCGTTACAGGTCTTCACCAGGGATGATAAATGAGTTTTTTAATTTTGTACCAAATGGCCAAAGAAAGTGTACTAAATAAGCCGAAAAAGTACCAACATTTAAAAGACCATACATATATAGTTACATATACATATATTTTAAGATTTTTCTGTATAAAAATCATGATATAAAACATGGCGTTTCGAAGGTGGAAAACATAAGTGCAAATCAATTGTTTGAAAAGGCCACCAAAACGCCAAGGTAATCAAGAAAAGCATACAAGTTATACTTATTAAGTGCTAGTAATACAAAAATTAAAAATAAAACCGTTGCATTTAACGGAATGGAAGTTTTACAAAAATATTTTGCAAAATATTTCCTTTTATAGAAATAAACAAGTTAATAGCAGTGTTCTCGTACCTAAATTCTTGCAAAGTGGTGGAAATCGAGAGCGTAAAATGACACTGAGACTATTAATCTCTAATTTTCTAATTTCCGTGCGTCAACTATGGCTGCCGTATAAAATTATTCAATTGTGGGTGAAAAAATTTACGCAAAATATTGAGGAATATACCAAAATAGATAATAATGCTGAAAGGTTCTGACTGAATTTGTCAGTTAATCGTTAAAACGAAAATGGGATAATTTTAAAGACACATTTGTAGCTAATCTACTTAATTTTTGTGAAACAAGGAGGGTGCTTGGAGGAGATTCTTTTATTTTTGAATGTGTCATGATATGGTATCAAAAATATTTGTTAGAAAAAAATACTTACTTACCTATCAGAAAGTCAGAATGGCGTAAGTTTTACTGCGTTCAATAACTTTTTCTGATATTTTAGTCTTCCCTCAATTTTACTCGCTATGATTGTTTTATTCTCTGGCTGCTAGTGCTTACTGGAAAATTTTATGAATAGACCTATTATGACA